GTCTTCTGCAAGAACAACCAGTGTTCTTAACTGCTGAGCCATCTCTCCAGCCCCATATATAGGTTTTTAAAAAACTCTCTGGAGTATAGTTACATGCTAGTTACATGCTAACCATATTCATCTTGTTAAGATCTTGCCATGCCATTTTCCAGAGTGGCTACTCACTTTATAGTCCCACTATGTAGGAGAGTTCCAGTTTCTCCACATCCTCACTAACACATGTTCTCTCTTTGATTACAGCCATCCTAATGTACACCTGCACTTGAGTATGCACTGATAGACCACTGTGGTTTGATTTGCATGTCTCTGATGAGTAATCAATTGAAACATCTTTTGATTATTCCCCATTTGTCTATTTTCTTAGAAAACTTCTAACTTTTGCCTATTTTTAAGTTGAGTTATATGTCTTTTAGTTGTTGATGCATAAGAGTTCTTCTGTGTCTTTAAGTTCTTATCAGTTACATAATTTACAAGTTTATTTTTTCCCATTCTATCCCATGACTGCTTCAACCCTTCAACCTCAGTCTTGGTCAACATTTGGGAATGATATTGTGTTGATATAAATTCCAGTTCTGTTTCTTGTGGGTCCCACAGCTGCCTGTTTAAAGAGGGTTTGCCTTACCCACTTGGAAACCCTGTGAAATCCATGATCACTCATCCTTGTAAGTGATGGGACATGTCCCTGCATCCCAGTGCTACAACACCTGAGATATTAGTTCTCAGTGATGACTTCTGTTCTTGTTTTAGGTGAAAGACTTCAGAAAAGTGTGGAGGTAGCTATTAGGAGCCTGAGAGAGGGGGCAATGGGCACTGTCCCCTCTAAAGACAGGCTGTGTCCTGGATGCAGTTCTAGCCAAGAAAGGAGCAGATGCCTCCCTGTCCCCACAGCCACCACCTTTCACATGCCACTTGTGATGGTCTCAGATCTGGTAAAGCAAAGGATCCCAGGAGTACTTTCTTAAAGACGGCTCTGTCAATCCCAGCTATTGAACTTGGAGATAAAGGCTCCCTACATCTCAGAGACTCACTCCTGATTCACCAGAGAGTTAATGACTCATGTTCTGCTTCCTCTTGTCTTCCAAACTTGCTCTTATCTCAGAACAACTTTTTAAAAAAATATTTTTAAAATATTTTATTATTTTTATTTTATGTGTATGAGTGTACTGCCTGCATGAATGTGAGTACACCTGTGTCGTGCAATGCCGTGGAGGTTAGAAGAGGGCATTGGATTCCCCCTGGAACTGGAGTTAAGGATGCTTCATAGCCGCCATGTGGGTGCTGGGAATTGAACTTGGGTCCTCTGCAAGAGAAGTCAGTGCTCTTAACCTCTGAGCCATTTCTCCAGCCCCATCTTAGGACAGCTTTTTAAAAATGCTTCTTGGGGCTGGAGAGATGGCTCAGTGGTTAAGAACACTGGTTGTTGCTTGCAGAAGACCCAGGTTCGAATCCCAGCACCCACATGTCAGCTAACAACTGTCCGTAACTCCAGTCCCAGGGGATCTGACAGCCTCTTCTGACCTCCGCAGGCATTTCACGACATGGGTGCACTTAGCTACATGCAGGCAATACACACATACACATTAAAAAAAATTGCTTTTCCGAGGCTGGAGAGATGGCTCAGCAGTTAAGACCACTTGCTGGTCTTCCAAAGGACCAGCACCTACATGGTATCTAACAACCATCTGAAACTCCAGTTCTAAGGGCTCTGATGCCCTCTGGCCTCCTCAGCTATTGCATGACACAGGTGCACTTATGAACATGCAGGCAAAACACTGATACACATACAATAACAAATAATAAGAGTTCTTGAGAAAAGGAAACTCTTTGTTTACAGAGGATAACAATAAGTTGATGTTAGCTATATTTAAATGAATAATGAAATGCCCAGAGCATCAAGTTCATGACACGGATGATCACCAGATCCTGTCAAATCAGCCAGTTGAAGCTTCATTAACCAGGAAAGTTCATCCTGGCTTCCTTTGCACTGACTCATTTAGGCCCGCTTTTACTCCTGAAACTACCTAATCTCTTTTTTGGTGCTAGACAGCTGTGATGGTTAATTTTCACTGCCAATTTGACATAATCTTGAATCCCCTGGAAAGAGTCTCAGTGAGATACATGTCTGTGGGGGACGGTCTTAATTATGTTAATTGATGTGGGGCGACCTGGTCTACTGTGGGCAGCACTATTCCCTGGGTTTAGGTCCCAGTTTGTATAAGAGTGGAAAAATGAGCTTAGTAGTAAGCATGCACGTGTACATTTCTTTCTTGTTTTCATTGTGGGTGTGATGTGATCTGCCACCTTGACTTCCTTGCTATGAGGGTCTCTAAGCAGGGATTGTGAGCTAAAATAAACCATTTCTTCCCTAAGTTGCTTTTTGTCAAGGTGTTTTATCAAAGCAACAGAAATAAAACTAGGACGTCAAACCCTGGGCCTTATGCAAGTTAAGCATATTTTCTACCAGAGGTTTCACCCCAGAACATCCATAATTTATTTAATTAGTTTTGAGATAAGCTCTTGCTATGAAGCCCAGGCAAACTATAAACATGCACTTCATCTGCATCAGCCTCCTGAGGACTGGTGTTCCAGTTACCACACCTAGCTATAAGGTCTATTTCTTTCATTTAAATTTTCAACAGTTATTTCTTTATTTTTGAGTCTGTGTATATATGTGTGGGTGCATGTGCCACAATATGAGTGTGGAGGTCAGAGGACAATTTGCAGTTATTGGTTTTTCTTTTTCTATCACGTGGGTCCTGGGGTTGTCTTGCTGGCCCTAAAAAATCTAAGTTTTTAAAGTAATACTCTTTATGAAAAGGAGCATTACGTGGTCGTTTAATACCTATCATCTTAAGCCAGATCACCTGTGTTCAAGTTTTGGTTACTTAACGCAATTCCTCAGTCTCCTTATCTTTAAGAGAAGTCTCAGGCTGGTGAGATGGCTCAGTGGCTAAAGGTACTTGCTGCCAAACCTGACAACCCGAGTTCAGCTATAAATGGGCTTGCTTACTTCTAGATTACCTTTACTACCTCAGACTAGGGTCAACCTAATGGGAATTCAAGTGCAGATATACAAGTTGCTACTGTCAGAAGGCACTAGGAATGGAAGTTCCCAGAAAAACCCTGCATCTTCAGCTGAACCTCCTCCAACAACTATGGAGAGTTTGGAATGTTGCAGGTCCAGAACCTATTTACAATTTATCTTGGACCATCTTAGCCCCATCAAAAGCTATTCCTTGTCTTCCTCTGTGTTTGGCTAACATCCTGTGACTCACAGATAAAACCTTTTAGAATGTATTTATCTAACAAAACCTTAGTTTCCTCCAACCAGAAGACTTAAGTGTCATCAGATAGCACCTGAGGCCTATGGCAGAATTCTCTCTACTTTGCTATAACAGGCCAACCAAATGTACCCACCAATGAATCTGAAAAGTGTGTTGGTTTATGACTTTCTTTGCGCTGTTATTATAACAGTTCATGAAATTACTACCTCCCTGGAACATGGTGTTTGGGGAGAACTAATTCTGTGTTCCTAGGCAATGGTCACTTATATTGGCTCCAGAATAAACTACCTTCTATCTCTTTTGATGTGAGAGTTGTACTTTTGTGTTGACAGACATAAAGTTGCCATTCTGAGAAGATACTTGGTTAGGTTTGATGCCAGCTTGAAAATGTTCTTTTCCTTTAAAATAAAATTAAATTTATTGGGCTGGAGAGATGTCTTAGTAGTTAAGAGCACTGGCTGCTCTTGCAGAGGACATGGGTTCAGTTCCCAGCACCCACATGACAGCTAACAACTGTCCATAACTCTACTTCCAGGGAAATCCAGTGCCCTCTTCTGACTTCCAGGGGCATTGCATGACACAGGTGCACTTACATATATCTAGACAACACATTCATACACATAAAATAAAAACAAATTTCTTTTTTGGCCTTTTTAAAACAGGGTCTCCCTGTAGCCCCAGCTGGAACTCTCTATGTAGATCTGGCTGGCCTTGAACTCACAAAGATCCACCTGTCTCTGCCTCCCAAGTGCTGGGATTAACTTTTTAAAATCACATTTATTGGCGCGCGCGCGTGCGCATGTATGTGTGTATGCAGGCCTGTGGAAGTCAGAGGACAACTTGTAAGAGTCAGTTCTCTCCTTCTACCATATACCTTTATCCACTAAGCTACCCCCAGTTTTTTGTTTGTTTTTGTTGTTGTTTGTTTCTGTAGTACTAGGGATTGAACTCGGGCCTTGCACACTAGGCAAGTGCTTTACCACTGAGCTATATCCCTTAGTCTGCCATCTTGAAAATCTTAATACTTTCTGAACAAGGGTCCCAAATTTTCATTTTGCACTGAATCCTGAAAAGTGTGCAAAAGTGTGCAGTGAATGGTTCTATTTAGAAAATATCACTACTCCGTGAGTCTTTAAATATATAAATGACAAATGCAGAATTACTTTCTAAAGGGCTATGCTAATTAATCCTGCTCCAGTCTAACCAGCCTGAGTGGTATCCTTTCTTTATATTTTGTTTATTTAGGACTGTAAAATGATGTGCCTAGTGATTTTACCTTGATCTTCAACTAACTTAACAAAATAAACAATAACAGAGTGGATATGACCTATCTCTCTATGAGTGGTACTTATATAGTAAATCAGGTACAAACCTACAGTGGAAAAACTTGAAAGGGAGGGGAGAAGGGAGACCAAGGGGACCAGAACACTCTATTACTCAAAACAGAAAACCAGGTGAGAAACTGAGAGTTCATTGTAGTTAACTGAACAAATCCTGGAGCAGGCTAAATTTGGCCTTTGAGGTTTAAACCTGAAACTTGCCTCTTACCCTTCCAAGATGGGAAGTCAACCCTCATTCTGAACCCAGCAAAGGAATAAACTCTCACCATCAAAGGAAAATGTCACGTGTTTAGACAGTAGAATTCTCTGACAGCCAGACTTTAATCTGCTTTCTGGTGAGTGGGAGGTTATGAAATCTCTGTCTTTGGAGCTGTAAAAAGTACAAGAGAAATATCTGCCTCCCACAGATCTGACTACAGTCCTGATGAGAGAAGGTACCAGGGGCTTGTTCTAGGGTTCCATCTGACTTCTGAGCAGCTCCCAGCAAGGACATTCACAGAAGCATCTACTTACTATGTATACTCCACTCGGTAGACCACTGGTCCCATGTCATTGCCGGGGGACACAGGCTCCCAACTCAGAACCTGCTTATCATCGTGTAGGTGAATCTTTGGGTGACGGGGAGTAGCCAGATGTGCAGAGCCTGGGGAGGAACAGGGAATAAGAGGAGATGGGGGAGGAAAAAAGAGAAGGGGAGGAGTCAAAAGAGAATACTCAATTACAGAATATTTCAATGTATATTATCCATTCAACTCAGTTCTTGCTGCAGCACAGGAATCGGATTACTTATTCTCCCTAGGCACACCCCTCTCCATCTGTGACTGTAGATGACACTACTGACACACAGCAGAGAGAAAGAAGCGGTTGATGGCGTCTACCTGCAGGCTCCAGTTAGAGCCAGTCCTGGGGACCACAGTTTGACTGTCTATCTTTTGTAAATGCACTTGACTCTGGGCAGTCCATGCCTCAGCTTCTTCTCCAGGAGTAAGAGACAAATAGTAAAATACCCCATAGGACTGAGGTGAAGATTCCGTCATGCCTTAGCCCTCAGCCTCCTGTCAAGGTTCCAGATAACATTTGAATTCCCAAGTGCCAACCCCTTGATTAGGAACTCTACATTTTCTTACTTTTCTTTTCTTTTCTTTTCTTTTCTTTCTTTCTTTCTTTCTTTCTTTCTTTCTTTCTTTCTTTCTTTCTTTCTTTCTTTCTCTCTCTCTTTTTCTTTTCTCTCTCTCTCTCTCTCTCTCTCTCTCTCTCTCTTCTTTCTTGGTGGTTGTTGGGGGGGAAGGGCAGGGGCAGAGTCTCACTCTGTAGCCCTGGCTGGCCTGAACTTGCTATGTTGACCACGCTGACTTGAACTCACAGAGATCCATCTGCCTCTGCCTCTGCCTCCTGAGCGTTGGGATTAAAGGTGTGAACCACTATGCCAGGCAAAATCTGCATTTTCAACTCTTCCTAGCGGATTCTTACACACAAGGCTTTAAGAGCCCAAAATGATGACTATGCTCCTTAGGTATAGCAGAATCTCCCTCTTTGGGGTGATGGGAAAGAAACCAGCTCCAACCTCTCTTGTCAAGTAGTTTGCAGACTGGGCTGGAGATTGAAAGCAGTAGAAGCTTCTCTCTAAAGAGAAATTATGATCATGATACCATTTTCTCTGATCAAAAGATTAATGAGAAATACACAGAAACTGGAAAGAAAACAGTTGAATAACACACTGTTCCAGAATTCAAAGCAGGAAATCCAAACCACACGTTTTCAGTAAGCTTATCCAACTGCGAAGAACAGTGCACAGCCACCTCCAGCCGGCTGCCAAGTCCAGCCAGACACCCTGCCAAGAGGCTGCAGCTGTTTGTTTACTTACAGAGTACCCAGCTCCTACACATCTGTGGGCTCTGGCTGCCCTCATTCTAACTCTTCACTCAACCAGCTAGCCCACACTTCTTCCCATTCACACCAGGCCAAAGGCAGACAGGCAGGGTGACAGGAGGCGGGCCCATTCAGCTCCCTGAGGACTACAGGCCTGCCTGTGCCGTACCAGGGGGCTGAGGGCTTGGCAGTGGCCAGACACTCATCCAAACATCTGAGACTTGCCTTTTCTGCCTGCATGAGGTTCCTGTTGCTGCTGTAACAGATCACCACAAACCCGTGTGCTTTTAGCAACCTAGAGTTATCTTAGAGTTCTGCAGGTCAGGTGTCTGAAATGGGCCTGGTACTGGGGTGGCAGCAGAGCCTGTGTTCCTTCTGGAGACTCCAGGGAAGAATCTGGCTCCTCCCCTTTCTGTCTTCCAGAGGATGCTTGTATTCTTTGGCTTGTCTAGACAGTCTGGGCCAAGTCTGCCTTGTGCCGTCCTCTCTATGTCTCTGGTTCTCTTTTCTGTCTCCTTCTCTCTCAAGAACCTTTATGACAGTGGGTCTATGTGGCCCAGAAATCCAGGCTTTTTGACTTAATCATACCTGCAAGATCCCTTTTGATATGTCAGGTCACATATTCAGAAGGTCCAGGGATGAATGTGTGGGCATTTTTCAGTCCACACATTAGTCTGCCTACCATGACTCCCCTTCACCATCTTTCCCTATCTTTAGAGGAACCAGAAGAAATAGCCTTTCCCTCTCCTGGGACCCTGTCTCCAAGAATCTAAACATCCAGCTAGAAAGGAAGACCAAGATGCCCAGGTTAGACAAGAAATAGTGCTACCCCAGCCTGCAAATAGGACAACAAAGGCACTCTTGTCAGAGCTGAAGATAGAGCCTGCTGGTATAACACTGGCTTAGTGAGCTCAAACCCTGTTTTTGACACCCAGCACTGGATCTGTGTTAATTTTTTTTTTTTTTTTTTTTTTTTTGAGACAGGGTCTTCCTGTAGCCCCAGCTGGCCTGGAACTCACTGTGTAGACCAGGCTGGCCTGGATCTCACAGAGATCCACATGCCTCTGCCTCCGAAGTGCTGGGATTAAAGGTGTGCACCACCATGTCCCACTGCCAGCAATGGAAAAACAAACAAAAAGATACTTCTGATGGAGTTCTGGGATCGGCCTCCCACCATCTTCAGCTCCCATTCTAATGAGTGCAGAGGAAAGTCCCACATAATACAGCAAGTTTCTTGGGAGTCCTTATCATCATGTTTATGGAAGAAAATGAGTCTCAGAACTGTGGACTCCACAGGGAAGCACCAAAGATTGTCCACTTATTATAAAGCACCTGACAAAAGTGCCCTCTTCATATCCCAGAGGGCCTGTCCTTGAACCTCACCCTCTACAGGCCATCAAGTGCCTCTCTTTGACTCTGGGAAACACTCAGTGTAAACCTCCTTTGTAACTTGCTCTGCTATTCCCTCTCCATGGAGCCCTCCAATCCTCAGAGTGACCTCCTGTAACATGCCCAGAGTCCTGGGGTGAAAGGTCAAACTTGCCCTCGACTCCATCCTCTTGCTGTGGTTTTCCCCCAAGGAGCCATTTGTATCTGTGTTCTCTGTACCAGGGTGGTTAGGAGCACAGATTTCAGAACTAGACAGCCTGCCACTGTCTTTGTGTGGGCCTCTGGGTAAGACATTTGTGTCTCCAGAGGGACTGTTGACAGTGCATTCTTCACAGGGTCTCAGTTAACTGGATGTGTAGGTCCAACACTCCAGAAGTACTCCATCACCTTCCCATTGCATGACACTCACTCTCAGCACTACAGCATGCACTCTGAGACGGTGAAGTGTTGCTAGATTTAGGGGTGTTTCATCCCCTGGGCCTGGAAGAGCAGGCATAGATGATGTGGTGAAGGAATGGCCTGCCTGACTTCAGAGATGATACAGCCAAAAATACAGCATTGTGTTCTTCCACGTGGAGCTGCAAAGCCCAGGCTCTCTCTCCCTTCCTTGCTTTATGTTTGAGTCTATGCTTCTGTCTCATCTCAGAGACGGGGCAGGGGTCCTGGAAGATTCTGGTCCAGAATTACTTTTGTGTCACTATGACCAAAATACTGGGTAGAAACAAGTGAAAGAAGGGAAGACTGATTTTTGGCTCAAGTTCAGGGGACTTCAGTCCATTGTGGTGGGGAAGGCTGTCAGCGGCCTCTGGCGTGTGGCAGTGAGCCTTCACATGGCAGCAGATCAAAATTCAGAGAGCTAGACCACACTCAGCGACAGGTGTAACCATAAAAGGCCAGCCTCTAGTGCCTACTTCCACCAGTCAGAACCCACCCAGCCTTCAAAATAGCACCACAAGCTGGGAACCCAGTGTTCAAAACATGAGACTCCAGGGGACATTTCAGCCCAAACAATAACAAGACTCATTTAGGGATGCAGCACTCAGTATGGCTGACAAAGGCTTGGTGGGAAAAGAACAGAGTGTAGGGACAAAGGGCCTGGTCTGGAATCCTGCATATAGCCACAAGATCCTCAGTTTCCCCGTGAATAATATGGTACTCCATCCCTCAGAATTGTGAGAGGCAAATACAAGATCATAAGTGAAAGGCAGAGCTGGAGAGATGGCTCATCATTAAGAGCATTTACTGCTCTTGCAGAGGACCTAGGTTCAGTTCCCAGCACCTATATAAGGCAGCTCATAACCACTTATAACTTCAGGTCCAGGGGATTGGATAGCCTCCAGAGGCACACATACATACACATAATAAAAATAATAAATCTTGGGGCTGGAGAGATGGCTCAACAGTTAAGAGCACTGACTGCTCTTGCAGAGGACCCAAGTTCAATTCCCAGCACCCACATGGCGGCTACGAACCATCCTTAACTCCAGTTCCAGGGGAATCCGAAGCCCTCTTCTGACCTCTGTGGCATTGCATGATACTGGTGCACTCACATACATGCAGGCAATACACTCATACACATAAAATAAAAATAATAAATAAAATATTAAAAAAATCTTTTTCTTTTAAGTGTAAGATGCTGGGCATGGTGGCATGCCCCTTTAATCTCAGCACTCAGAAGGCAGAGGCAGGTGGCTCTCTGTGAGATCAAGGTCAGCCTGGTCTACATGATGAGTTCCAGGCCTGCTAGGCTACAAGGAAGCCCTATGTCAAAAAAAAAAAAAAAAGTAAAAGGCAAGTCAGACATCATGGCCTGCCATTTTTAAGATGTGACTATTTCAGGGATGGTGAAATGGCTCAGCAGTTAAAGATGCTTACTGCCAAGCCTGGTGACCTGAATTGGATCCCTGGGACTCACAGGGTGGAAGAACAGAAATGACTCCCAAAAGTGGTTCTTTTACCTACCTACACACGCATGCACACACACACACACACACACACACACACACATAAATGTTAAAAAAAAATTTTTTTTAAAGATGCCATTTTTTTTTTTTTTTGGTCTTTTTGAGACAGGGTCTCCCTCTAGCCCCAGCTGTCCTGGAACTCACTATGGAGATCAGGCTGGCCTCGAACTCACAGAGATCCACCTGCCTCTGCCTCCCAAGTGCTGGGATTAAAGGTGTGTGCCACCACACATGGCAGGATGCCATTTTTAAGATGTGTCTATTTCCAGGTTTCCTGATGCCCCATGCTTGCCTCTGGGGGTGGTGAGTGCTCCCTACCCAGATACTACTTGCACTGGCCCCATGTTGGGCACAGTATTCAATGGTTCTGTCCTGTCACAGGCAGATTAGCATGTCTGCCTCACCAAGATTGTCTGTGCCCTATGAATGTGTTAGGTTACATGAAAAAGTGGTAGATAAAACTTAGATTCCTAGTCAGAGGACCTTAAACTGGGGAGATTATTTTGGCATATCTGGGTGTGTCCAGTGCAATCACAAGGGCAATTGCTTCTCTAGACTCTGGCAAAGGTAAGGGAATGAATCTTCCACCTGCAGCCTTTAGGACCTTGACTTTTGTTCTGTGAAATGTTTGCCAGACTTCTGACCTGCACAACTGTGAGATATGTCTGTTGTTTCAAGGCACTAAATTGGTGGCCATTGTTGCAGCAACAACAGGAAACTAATATGGTCCCCATGAGTGGACACAAGGCTTCAAGGACACTGCCTCTTCTACCAGGCGAAAGCTCCCAGGTCCTGGGAGGGTGAGCAAGGCTCCACTCAGCCTTCCACACTCCTGGTGGCAATGAGTCATGAGCCCCAAATGGTAAGAGGAGATTAGCTGGGTGGAGCCTGTGGATTGTGCCCTCTGCACCTCACAGCCACAGCTCCTATCCTGCCTTCCTGTCCCAACCCTGGACCTGTGAGGTCCCTGAGATCCAGGTGTTTGAGAACTCATAGAACTGTAAGAAAAGGTTAGCTAGGCTGGGAATGTGGCTCAGCAGTGGAGTGCTTACCTAGCATGCACAAGGGCCTGAGTTCAATCTCCAACACTTGGGAGGGGGGCAGTGGGGATAAAAGATTAGGCAGACCTAATGGCACAGGCTTGTAATCCCAGCACTTGATCCCCCCCAGCACTTGGGGGGTGGAAGCAAGAGGATCAGGCGTTCAAGGTCATCTGTCATCCTCTGGTACACAGCAAGTTGGAGGCCAGCCTGGACTACAAGAGATCCTGCCTCAAACAAATAGACAAAGAATACCCTATCTTGGGCCTGAACAGCATAGTTTGGTTTAATAGATCACACAGATAATGAAATAAAATATAATTAATCATTTAATCTTTACAACCAGGGACCAACCTCTGAGTCTTTCTCTGAGTGGGGCATTATGATGAAAACAATTATGAATAACATCAATAACATCACTCTAAAAGTGAGAGGTAGAGAAACCTTCCTCATTCCTAGCCTTAACCAGGAAGTTACTCTCCTGTAAATACCACACATCAATTTCTTTAGGCTAGATCATTTGTCTCTTCTTATAAAGGATTATCTTGCTTTCTTGGTAGTGAAATAGACCACTTATTTCAAAAGAATGGTTGAAAAATTAAGAGAGAGGGGCTGGAGAGATGGCTCAGTGGTTAAGAACACTGTTCTTGCAGAAGACCTGGGTTCGAATCCCAGCACCCATATGGCAGCTAACAACTGTCTGTAACTCCAGTTCCAGGGGATCCGACAGCCTCTTTTCTGTCCTCCATGGGCACTGCAGGACACAGGTGCACTTACTTACATACAGGCATAACACTCATACACATCAAATAAAATAATAAAATATTAAAAAAAGAAAAATTAAGGGAGAAATGCAGGTACAGCAATTAGCAACTTGTCTTAGAATAGCAGGCAGCTGGGATTCCCATTTATCCAGCTCTGTGATAGAGTCAACTGCTTTGACAGTGGACAAAGAGGAGACTACCTAATGTTGGCTTTTACGTTATTGGGGCCTTAGTATCTTTGCCAGTGGGCTCTACTCCAACTGGAAGGCCTGGCTGTTCCTTCAAGTTACAATGACAAAGTCTTCACATAAGTACATAGCCAATCCACAGAACACTGAGCCTTGGCTACTGCAATTACAAATCGATGTCTTTATTTATTTATTTTGGTCTGTTTGAGACAGGGTCTCTCTGTAGTCCTAGCTGGCCTGGAACTCTCCATGTGAGTGCTGGGAACCAAGCCCAGGTCCTCTGTAAGAGCAGCCATCTCTGCTGAGCCATCTTTCCAGCCTCAAGAAGGATTTCTTTTAAAAATATCCCAGTGTTTTTTCCCTCAAAAAGTTAGTATGAAAATATTCAAATTGTTATTTGTAAGAGAGTTGTATAAGGCTCTTCTTAAGAGATTTGCATAAAGAGTTACCACATTCTAAAGATCTATGGGTCTAAAGATCTATGGTGTATTGCCAATGAGCTACAGACCAATACTTTGGTGGACTATAATAAAAGTTAATCATTAGGAAAATGGTCATGCACCATGATCACAACACAATGGGTGTTGTGACATCAAACTGTAAAGTTTTTAAATATGTCTTTCAACCTCTGGACTTGAAGCAGGTGAATTACAAATAGTTTACAGATCATCCTTTGTCAGTGCCATGCCCACAGTGGCTCTGACACCAGGCACCACCAGCTTGGACAATGAACAGATTTCTTCTAAAGGAGTCTTGGGGAGAGGGCACACAGAGGTTCTTCAAGGAGAAGTTGGGGAGCAGCACAGGCAGGATTTAAATCCAACAGAAAACAAGGTAACTGTGTAGCCAGGGCACATCCCCCTGTGCAAGGCTCCACTGTTAAGGAGACAGGGAACTTAAGGGTGTTTCCCAGGGATGCTGGTAGAACTCCCCTGACCCCCTTCAGATATGAAGGAACTTCTAAATTCTTGAGATTATTTAAGTGCTAATCAAACTTTAAAAAACAAAAACAAACAAATGAAAAATCAATTCTGGCTACACAATGCCCAAGCTGGCCTTGAACTCAAGCTCTTCCTGCTTCTTCTAACCTGAATTCTGCAATTCCCAGGTATTCACCACACTCTGCAGACAGTAGCTATCCAACTTTTGATACGCTACAGTCTCTACATAGGAAAGAACTCAGCAACACACAAAAGCATACATTGAATTACACAGAACGCTCTCAGTGAGGTCTTTTTTCCTTTAGTTTGATGGTTCGCTCATAAATATGGCCAGGCAGTGATAGAGGAGACACGGACATTTCTGCTCCCTATTTACAAATAAGATCCCAAGGAACTGAGTGCCTGAGTTTCATGCCGGCCAAAGCAAGCCTTGGGCCCCTGCCCTTCGGCTGATCTCCCTCGCACCAAACTTCTAGGGAGGCCTAGGCCACTGGGGAGAGCACTCCAGGCAGGCTCAGCTCACTCCGACTTTGGGGAAGAATCAAAGCCACTTGTTTCCCGAGTCCTGGATTTGATTTTTTTTTGTTTTTTTTTTCCTTTGTTCAGTTTGAGAAATCAGGAGACAGGCGGCAGACAGTTCTGGGGCGGGAAGGAGGAGCCGTAGCGCCGTGAAGGTGCAAGTGAGCAGCCCCTCTGGGAATGGGGGGCAGCTGTGTCCGGCTCCCACGGGCATTCCTGGAGGTGCACCCCACGCTGCAGCTCCCCATGCCCCCCCCCCGCGGACCCCCCGCGGTGGATCCGGGAGCATCTCGCGGACCCATCCGGATGTGGACCCCCAATACCCGCGACCGAGGAACCCCCTCCCCAGGCCGGGGACCCTCCCCACCCGATCCGGGCACTCTGCGGACACCCACCCGGTCCAGGCACCCCGCAGAAGCCACGCGCTGCAGCGGAGGCCTCGGGGTCCCAGGCTGCGCTTACCTGGCGGGGGCGTCGCGGCACCGAGGCTGCAGAACAGCAGCAGCTGCGGCAGCCACAGCGGCGGAGGCCGCATGGCCCGGGGTGGGCGCCGCTCAGATCGCCGCCGCGGCCATGGCGAGCGCAGGGCTCGGGGCCCGCCTCTTCCCGAGTCTCCCGGGCGGCTGCGGAGCCCTAGCCAGCCGCCCCGCCCCGCCCCGCCCCGCCCCCGCGGGGACTTTCCTGGGTGTTCCCGGGAGCCGACGCCGGTGGCCCGCCACAGCAGTCCAGCTCGGGCCCTCCCTGCCTGCAAGACAGGAGTGACCAGCGGGATCTCTCAGGGTGCTCTCCATCCTATTGGAAAGACTCTGGGCGACCCAAGCCCCCTAGGCTAACCCACCCCAGCCCCTGCCTCCCTGCTAGGCTGGTTGGTACAATTTACAACTTGACTCTTCAGTTTGAATTTATGTTCTATTTATGGGCTCAAAAATACATGCTAAGCTTTTAACCCTTTTTAGAAGAGAGTTATTAGAGAGTATAGTAGTTAGAGAGGACCCTGCCAAGGAGAGGAGTTGAGGCCTTGGGGGCATAGTGTCACCTAGAAGGAGGAAGGAAAGTTGAGAGGAACTTCATGCCTTGCCTAATAGTATGCGGGTTTCCCGGTGTCAGGCTGTGAAACCTAAGAGGAAGTGACTCCAGGAGTGGGGCGGGGTCAGGCCTGTAGTCTGGCCTGAGCTGTGTCCAGTGAAAACCTGTTGGAGAGAGATCTGAACCCATTGTGTTCTCCCAAGATGGGCTATAAAGTTAGGTCACCTCCAAGAAGGGGTAACTCAAGGGTCCATGGAGGGAGACGGAGACTCACAGAAAAGTCATCCCGGCCCAGGGGCCCTGTCCTGCAGGCTGCCCCTGTGGTGTCAAAAATAGAGCTTAATTTTGAACTGCTTAAATCTCTCTCTCTCTCTCTCTCTCTCTCTCTCTCTCTCTCTTTCTCATTGCTTTCTTGTTTTCCTTTTTGTTTGTTTTGGTTTGAGACAGGATCTTTTTTTTTTTTTTTAATGTGTATGCGAGTATTGCCTGCATGTAGGTAAGTGCATGGTGTCCTGCAATGCAGGTGTAGATCAGAAGAAGCTGTTGGATCCCCTGGGACTGGAGTTACCAACAGTTGTTAGCTGCTATGTGGGTGCTGGGATTTGAGCCCGGGTCTTCTGCAAGAACAACCAGTGTTTTTAACTGCTGAGCCATCTCTCCAGCCCCTGAGACGGGATCTTATGTAACCCTGGATGACTTCAACTGATTGTAGTAGGTCCAGGCTGGCCTTGAACTGCTGATCCTCCTCCTCCACCTCTCAACCTCAAGGCTTACAGGCCTTGGCCTCCTTGAAAAGCAATTCTCTCTGCTTTTCTTTTTTTTTTTTGGCATTCTTTTGAAATTGGTTCCTTATAAAAATATGTGATGGGCATTGTGGTGCAAGCCTTTAATCTCAGCACTTGGGAGGCAGAGGCAGGTGGATCTTTGTGAGTTCAAGGCCAGCCTGGTCTACATAGTGAGTTCTAGGACAGCTGGGACTACAGGGAGACCCTGTCTCAAAAAGACAAAAAAAAAAAAATATGTGATGGAATGTCTGGCAAGTATTGAACTTTGCTCGCAGTATTTCCAGACAGAGAAGGACTTGCATGCCAAGTAAAAACAGCAGAATGTGAATAGGTATCCTTTCTAATGGAATTCATTGAAAGTGGCACGTGAGGGGTTGGAGAGATGGCTCAGCCGTTTAGAGCACTGGCTGCTCTTGCAGAGGACCCAGGTTCGATTCCCAGAACCCACATGGCAGTTAACCTTCCACAGTTCTGGTTCCAGGGGATCTGATGCCCTCTTCTGACCTCCACAGGCATTGCATGACAGGGGTGCACCTACCTGCATGTAGACAATACACTCATACACATATAATAATGAAAAAAATATTTTAAAAAAGAAAGTGGTGAGGGAAGAAAACCAAACCTACAGGCTATGGATTATGAATGTTTCTTTTTTAAAAAAAAACTCTTCCTTTTTCCCCATAGACATATTTTACTTTTATAATGCAGGGGAGTTGTGACAGAGAAAAGAACAAGTATATGCTTGCTTCAGCTGAGCCAGAGGCTTATGTCACCCCTGAGGGCTTTTCTGCAGAATCCAGAGAGCTCTTTCCTGCTAACACTAAGGGGATTTCTGTTTTCCCTGCAGAAGTCCTTGGCAGGATGCTAAAAGGACTGCCTTGGATTGGTATCACTCTGCTACCTCAAGCATACAGTACCCAGAGTGCAAGGAGGTATCTTCCACCCTGAGGCAGCTTATCATGGCAAGGCCAACTCGGTGTTTGGCCTTGCACTTCCCTGTTCTTCCTGCCTGGAGGAGTCCTGAAGTCATGGACAGCTGGCTCTTACTTCCACTGAGATGCCCGAGCTGAAGAGAACAGGAAGCCAGTCATGTTGGTTCATCCTGTGAAAAGCATGTGACACTCATGGTTCTGTCTTTCCCACAGCATTTTGTCACACCTCCATTATTGTATTAGTCTCCTAAGTGAGTTCCTTCCAGTCATTTCTTTCCTGTGGAAACAGGTTTACTGTGAACCCAGTGAACGCTTAAATCTGGGCCACATGAGGCAGTGCATACCTTTAGCAGGCGGATCTCTGAGACTGAAGCCAGCCTGGTCTACGTAGCAAGTTCCAGGCCAGCTGGGGCTACAAGGAGATCCTGTCCCAAAAGGCAAAAACGAAGAGATGGCTCAGCAGATAAGAGCACTGGTTGCTCTTGCAGAGGACCCAGGTTTGATTTCTAGCACCTACATGGCAGCTAACAACCGTCTGTAACTCCAGTTCCAGGGGATCCAATGCCCTCTTTTGACCTCCGTGGGACCTCTGAGGGCATTGCACCACAGGGGTGCACTTATATACATGCAGGCAATACGCTCATACATAAAACAAAAACAGAAAAAAAACCACACAAAAACAAAGTTTAAACCTCAGGACATTCATTTGCATGGTGTCTTCTATGATCTTAAGAGTGGCTCCTGGTACTGTGTGAGCATCATCATGTGCTTCTGTGAAATCTGCAATGTAGGCAATTTTGGCTACATTTGTTAAGACCTCTGTCTCTTTCCTCTTTGGATTTCCTTCTTACATACTTCTCGTGTAGGTTGGTGTTGGGGCAGCTATGTGAGTCTTGAGAAACATCATGGTGTTTCATAGACTATGTATAGAGAGATCAACAGCAAATTGTGAAGAAAACTTTTTTTTTTTTTGGATTTTTTGAGGCAGGGTCTCCCTGTAGCCCCAGCTGTCCTGGAACTCACTATGTAGACCAGGCTGGCCTTGAATTCACAGAGATCCAGTTCCACCTGCCTCTGCCTCCCGAGTGCTGGGATTAAAGGCATGCTCCACCACGCCCAGCAGAAAACCTTTTTTAAATAGACAAAAATTAAAAAACAAATTTTTGAGGGCTGGAGGGACTGTTCAATGGTTAAGAAAAGTTGGTGTTCTTCCAGAGTACCTGAGTCCAGTTCCCAGCACCCACATTAGGCAGCTCACAACCACCTATAATTCCAGCTCCAGGGGATCTGCCACCTGCTTTTGGACTCTGTGGGCACTGCACTCGTGCATGTACACACACTTAAACAAAAATACACACATATATAATTAAAACTAAAATAAAAATATTTTAAAAACAATTTGTTCCTCTAATTATGCTAGAGGAATGACTAAGTTTATTTATTTTATTTTATTTTATATGTAAGGGTGTATTGCCTGCATGTATGTAAGTGCACCCATGTGCAGTGTCCAAGGAGGACAGAAGAGGGTGTCAGATCCCCTGGAACTGGAGTTACAGATGGTTGTTAGCTGCCATGTGGATGCTGGGATTCTAACCTGGGTCCTCTGCAAGAGCAGCCAGTGCTCAAAACCACAGAGTCATCTCTCCAGCACGTTTATTTATATATAGTATACATATTATAAATGTATTCATATATGAACATAGATCACCATTTGATATTTGATACTGAGCACACATACATGCATATCTCAAGTAACTGTGAAGTTAAAAGTAACTTTTTAAAGTTCATATAATTTAAAAACAAGTTTTGATAAATCGTGCTGGAGAGGAGGCTGAAGTACTTTCCTGTTTCTTCCTGTTTCTCTGCCAGGCACTCATAGAGGCAAAGATGACATAGTAAAAGATGAGGCCAGAGAATTGTAGAGGTATGAGTTATATTTCCTGTTCTTCGAGATTTTGTGATGTCAGTGATATTTCATGACCTTAAAACTCATAATCTGTTTATTTCTAATTCTAAATAAATGCTTACTTCTGCGCCTGATTTTATGTTCTTTGTTGTGTATTCTTTTATAAAGAAGCCTCCTGGGACTGGAGAGATGGCTCTTGGAGCGGACCCAGGTTTGAATCCCAGCACCCACATGGTGACTAACAACTGTCCTTAATTCCAATTCCAGGGGATCTGACACCCTCTTCTGTCCTTCTTGGGCACTGCACTTGGGTGCACTTACACGCATACAGGCCCAACACTCATACACATAAAATAAAAATGGATAATTAAAAAATATTTTTTTGGTCTTTTTGAGATAGGGTCTCCCTGTAGTCCCAGCTGTCCTAGAACTCACCATGTAGACCAGGCTGGCCTTGAGCTCACAAAGATCCACCTGCTTCTGCCTTCCCAGTGCTGGAATTAAAGGCGGGCACCACCATGCCCAGCTAAGTGAATAAATTTTTTAAACAAGAAGACTCCCCTATATTACATGAACAATATTGAATCTAGCGCTACAAAATTTGAATCTAGCCCATACCTTAATTTATTAATTCAACCAGCTGTCTTCTGGCAACATTTACTTTATGCTATTCTCCTGTGAGGGGGAGGGGGGATGATGCCCCCGCACTTCCTTCAGTTCAGTGGATGAAAGTGACAGAAAAAACCAACACTGACTCACAGCCAAAGGTGCTTCTGCATATGGTGGGTCCCTCAGGCTTCGTGGCCCCCGAGGTTCTGACCCTGTTGCGCAGATGAGAAAGCCATCAGAGTTAGGAAATAGTCCCAGCAGGGGATTTGCATTGGCCATGTTTGCTAAACTGTGACTATGCTTCCTAGATCACGTCTCCTGGAGTAGTGCTGATAGCACCGATCAGGAGAGATGCTGTGCCTGTAAGTGTCGGTGGGTGGAAGGA